TTTTATAATTTTTGGTCTCTATTCAATAAAATAAATAATTTAATAAAGAGGCTTACGTACGCAAGCTGACTTTTCCGCATGGAACCGAAATTTTGGGAATAAACAGAAATGATGGTCTATGTATGGTTGCAGTAACTTAAATTAACGTGAAAACTTGTGAATATTATTTTCTTATCAAAATAAATAATCATACTAAGTCTAAAGAAATTTCAATCCAAAAAATAGCCTGTTCAAAGTTTCACATCATTACAGTACCACAAAGGCAAGTCTTTTATACAAAAATGAATTTTTTTTTCGATTTTTGTATGAAAAGTCTGTGAAAAATTGATTGCATCTTAAAACCAACATCAGATTCGGGTTTCTCGTGCCAAAAACCCCCACTACACAGTCTTTCAGCGTTCAAATTGAAAGAATATCATTTTAAGGCATTTTTCTCATAAGTGCCTCTTCACAGTCTAAGTTTTACATCGATCAATCAATGTCGTTGAAAATTTGACCAGATCTATTCCTCGTAACGCCCAATCATCCCGTAAAGTCAGATTTCGAATTTCATGTCTGAGCACGAAACCATCGTGTCACCAAAATGGTTGAAAAATGATCAAAAAAGTAAAATGTATGGATTGTGTCCATTCGGACCCAAAACTATTACACCGGTCAACAGATATTGCTCAAAAACTAATCAGCACGTCTCCTAGTAGTCCCAAATCATCCTGCAAAGTCAGAATTTGAATTGAGTTTTTGGAAAAAGATTTATCGAGTTAACAAATTTTGGCAACATGCCACAGGACACAGGACACAGGACACATCACACACAGCGACGCACATTAATATGCCCCAAAATCATCTCCAATCGTGTTTTCTACATTAAATAAGCATAGAAAACATGTTTTGGGATGACTTTAATTTTTTGGCCAAATACAATACCTTCCCTACACTAGGTGTGCGGAAAAGTAATAAAATGATTTTTGTTGCCCTACACACTTACACATTTTTTTTTGTTTTCGAGAAAAGCCTCTTTTGTTTAGAGATATGTCCAGTGTGTGTGTGTGACAGAAAGAGAGGGAGGGAGAGAGAGAGATAACGATATACGGTATTAAATCGAGTAATGGTAACCATATCATCTTGCAGTAATGTTCAATAGCTCAGATTACATTCAGTTAAAGTAATCTCATATTTGAATCTTTGCGGCGAAAAACAGCTCTTATTTTGTTCCAACTAGTAGTTTCCACATAGGTAGATAGGTTTGTTTTCACTAAAAGAGCTATCTTTCGCCGCGAAGCTTCATTTATAATCTACCAAAAGTCGACAATGTCGATTGAAAATTTAACAGAGAATTTAAATGGGTTGTTATCTTTTTTGTAGGTGGGATCATAGCCTTGCGATAGGTGAAGTACTCTTTTTGGCATGGGGCATTCGTGTTTGTTACAACGTACGAAATGCAGAGTCATTATACAACGAGGCTCGAATGATTTCATATGCAATTTATAATATCGCATTAGTTAACATTCTCATGATTGCTTTCCAGTATGAGCTTCATCATTTGATAGCACAATTTCCATATTATTAATTTATATAACATGTTTTGTCTTGCAGTTTGATAATATTTCCGCAAGCAGGTCCGGATGTAAAATACTTTTTGGGATTTGTTCGAACTCAACTATCGACGACAACAACGGTGGTTTTGGTATTTGCTCCGAAAGTGTTGCGAGTTTTACGGGGTCAAGGCGACCAGTGGGATCATCGTGCCCGAGTACGAGGTATTACAGCTTCATTTTCACTGAACGGTATTGGTTTAGTACCTGAAGACTCACCGGACTTATATCAAGAAAACGAAGAATTGAAGGTTTGTCTTCGTCGTTCATCATTTCCTCTCTTTTTTCGATTTTAAATTATTTCCATAATTTTCTTTGACATTTCAATTTAAATTTTCACAGGAGGAAATACAAAAATTGGCGGCTCAAATCGAATTTCAGAAAATCGTAAATATGTCGACAAATAATAGACACATCAAGCCAAAACCCGGATCGTATTTTTCATCTGCATCATCGATTCAAAGCCCAACGAGCAAAACAATTGCAGCACAAACTCAAACGACGAAATATCCACGAGAGCAGGCCAGTGGAATCAGTGAAGATGGCCACAGTGGTCACAGCGGAACAAATAGCGTAGGAAAAAATTCAACCGGTTAATTCGAATGCGACGCATTAAAAATGCATCTCAAATTAGTTAAATGTTACCGTAATAATGCGTATATTGTTCTTCGCTTCTTTTTACCAAAAAAAAAACTCCATCGAATTATTTCATCTAAAACAAAATCATCATCTGCCATCTTTGTAAGAGAATCCAATACGAATTTGATGAAAGTGGTCACTGTTGTTGGAAAGATCTTAATACGTATGAGACACACAGACGCACAAACGAAGGAGAACGAACAGTCACACATAATCAATTCGATTCAAATGGACAAAATGTACGCAAATACAAACAAACAAACGATCCACCAAAATCAAACGTATTTATCCATGACAAAGTGTAGTAAATTGAAAGTATAATTCATTACGCCTTCCTATTTTTCTATGAACATTGACTGAAACAAAACCAAATAACAACCATATGTTTTGTATGGTAAATAATAGTACGATAATAAAGAAAAACAAACAAACAAAAATGTTCTAACTATCTCAGCTCGTTTCATGAATAAACATTCACACATACTATTTTGTTGATCGATTCAGAGCGGACATATATGCTGATGAGCAGAGAAAAAAAAATTGGTGCAACAAAAAAAGCAAGATTACACACTAGTTGTTGATTTATGTGGTTTTTAAATTTTATATATCATTTAAGTTTTGATAAAAATGAATGAAATTGTTCAGGAATGATGGAGAGTGAGAAAAAAGAGAGAAGAAATTTCAGTTTTATTCCAACAGAAATTACAGAAGAATGTTATTAAGCCACAATAAAAAGTGTTATCGTGCAGAAATTTCAAGCTTTTGCTGAAGGAAATGTTCTCGGGTTAAAACGAAAATGGTTTCAAATGTGATCCAAATGTTAACCCATTAAATGTTCATCCTTTTTTTTCCTCTCAAGTAAATCCCCATGAGATGTAGTTTGACGAAAGTAAAATTATACGAGTGCCGCCGCTAGAGTAGGATTATACTAAAGAAATGGAAAAAAAATATATGATGGAATGGAATGGGAAAAGAAGAGGCATGGAAAAGAAACCCTCTCAGAATGTGATTAGTTGAAATCGTTGCTTATATTTTCGTCAATCAGTTTTACTCCAATTTATCGATAGATCCCTCTTGTGCAAAATAAGGTGAAAAAAATAATTATTATAGATAGAATTTTATTGTGCGATGACCCATCGAAGAAATGAATGAAAAAAAAGGCGAACAAAAGTCATGCGATGAAATAGAGATGTCAATTAAAAAAAAATATGTTATTTCTTGATTAGAGATCAAAATGCGTTTATTTAAAATTTTAATTTTAAACACAAAAAAAAACGATAACAAAAAAGAGTTATTACCTGAATATTATTATAATTTAAAAGTGTCGTGAAAAACATGATAAATAAATTAAAGTGAAGTGAAGCATCTTATTTGTCAAAATAAGTGAGTGCCAAAGATCAATCAAACATCGCCATAACCATTTGAGTGATTAAATCCTCCACCAAATAATAACAATTATTCCCAAATATCAAACAGAATTATAATATAGTCAAAATGGGATAGAAGACAAGCATACCATTCGTTTATTTTTTAAATATTTGATCATTTAGTGTTATTATGGAATCGTAGATATTTTGTGTACCTGTGCAAATAACAAAAATAAAAAAGTAAACAAGTGTTTTCCGCCAAAGAGAAATGAAATTTAAAATCGAAAACCGAATTGATACAAGTACTATACACGGTGGTATTCATGCAATTAATTGTGTAGAATTTAGTTTATTGTGGTTTAAATGGATAAAATTAAGTGTATAAATGTCAAATAAAAAAAAAAAAACAGAAAATATAATTACAAACAAAAAAAAATAAATAAGCGTTATATACATATAACAAAAACAAATTGGTTAAGCTTGGAGGGAGATGACAAAAAAAATAATAAGAAGCAGATGAATCAACTAAATAACTGTAATATTTTATCAATGTGATTTATATTTATGTTATAAATTTGTAAAATCAGGGTTTATAAGTTATAGTTTTGTTAAATTCTTGTATGTAACATTTCGTCTGTGTACAAATATACAAACAAAAAAAGAATTCAAAATATTTTTCCTTTTTTCTCAAACTTCTTGCACATGCACACAACCGCACATGCACACAAAATAAAACCCATTTGCAAATGTCTGTTTAAAAATGTCCACATTTTCATTTACTTTATTTACAGAGATACACAAATAACAATTCACTTTAAAAATAGATTTGTGCAAAAAATAAATCTATTATTTTTCACTAAAATATATTATATATATATATAAATCGGTATAAAATACGGTGTTTGTTTTACTCCATCTTCAACTTATAATTCCTGTAAATAAATTCTGCAGCATTACATTTGTTGCATTTATTTGATTTTTAAAGTTTAGTAACTAAACATTTGAAATACACACACTCAAAATTTGATTGAAAAACATTCAACATGAGCCAAAAGGGTCTTCCTTTACATAATATCATCATTACATGTCATTCTAACATAAAAAAACTAAGCCAATACATAATTGTTGTCAGGATCTATTAATTTAGTTTGATGCAATATTTTCACCAATTTTAATTGATACAATGTGATAGATTTCTCTTCTTTTTGGTGCTGAGGTGAAATGTGTAAATTTTTTTTTATATACATTCAAAAAATTACGCAACAAAAAACAAAGAAAGACAGAAAAAAGTCAATAACAATATCTCTGGATCTCCCTTCTGTCGCATGTGTTTATTGGTCCATTGCTTCCTGTTTATGATCTCGCGTTGAAAAATTCTCACAATTAATTCCATTTTGTTTAGCTGGTTGAATAGTTTGCGAGCTCAGTCTTCCGATTTTACCAACAATCTTCGGTATTTCACTGTTTGTGCCATTGCATATAATATTGTCATCGTTTGTTAATGATGGTGATCGATTATTGTTCACAACATTGTTATTATTGTTTAAACTATTATCGTTATCATTTTTGCTGGTTGGGACTAGTGTTATTGAATCATTTGTATTTGTTCCTGTATTATGACATGAACTGGTTCGGTTTTGTACAGATTTTGCTAATTGCAGCCAATGCTCTTTATTCTCTAATACACCATTCACAAGCGGTTGCAGCTTATCCGATAGCGTTCCAAATGCCTGTCAAATACAAATTGCATATGTCAACATTCAATTATTCGGTTCAATTATGGAAATTGAATGTCAATCAAAGTGAATGTTTTTTTGTTTTTCAAATGGGATTTTACCTCGTAAATCGGCAGACATATTGTATCGATGAAATTCACTTGCATCATTGGTAACTGTGACTCTTTTTCACGATTCATTATGTCCTGTTGAGATTCATTGGAATGGAAATATTTCACATTATGATTTGTTTAAATGTGACATACGATTTTCAGTATAAAACTTACAATCGGTGTTATGTTAAGCTCCTGTCGCTCCATATCACCTTGTTCAAAAAATTCGGACGTTACGAGGTCAGCCACACGTTTTTCAACGGGCCATGGTTTTGTGATGGCCGATAGGTCACACACTGTCATACTCATTGCTCGTAGCAATGATCTTGGCTCTTCGCTCAACCAATTTGCCATGGTTGTGTTTGGTTTGACATGCTTTAAAAATGACCCACGTTTTCTGTAATACACATTTTCGTAAACGTTAAATTTTTATATTCCTATAAATGAATCAATTGTTGTGTACCTAAAGTAAACGGCCAGGTCGGTCGATAGAATGGCATCTTCTAAAACTCGAAGCGCTCGACTGTACTCTTCGGATGACAGATGTGCTAGAATTTGATTTCCAGGGCTGTTTAAAATCATGAGACATTGATCGAAATGATGATGTTCCATCGTTGACGTTGAATACAATTGTGCCAATGGTGATGAAGCTCTGAATAAAGATAAATTTTCCATTAAAAATTCATGTCCAATTTAAATCAAAATGGTCACATGTGTGTATGTAAGTTTTGTTCATACTTAATTTGAAATGAATTGTTCGTTCCCCTGTGATCCAAGTCATGGCATAAACATGCAATTATCAAAGCCAAACATTCAATTTCACCGAAAATTTTCCACCACTGAGTTGCCTGTTTGATGGGATAAATAAATATAAACATATGCCCAAACTAATCCATTTACAAGTATGTATATTCACCGTAACAATCGAAAACATCATCTGGGCAACATTAAAAGCATGCCGCCAGTTGTGATAAGTAACATTTCGGTAATTCTTTTTTACGCTTAGCAGCCAACGGCACAGCACCTCATAATCGATATGAAAACGTTCAACAAAATCCAATTCCAAAAACATACGCAGACACGCCTGTCATTTTTTACCACAACAACCGAGCGGCAGCACAGAGATAAAAAAAAAATAGACAAGAGAAAAACAACATGCAATCGATTAATTGTATTTGACAGGTGAAATGTTTACTGCAATAATTACCCTCAATGTGTCATCATCATCCATTTCGATATCATCAAAACTGAATTCATGCAATTGGAAGAAGGCGGCCGATGGAACTTTCAGATTCTGAAAAACAAATTACAATGAAATATAATCAATTTGAGTTGTGTTTTTTTTGTGTGTTTTGTTTTTTGACATATTAATATTCTTACGCGTAGGCGAACAGCGTCTTCCATCGAAGCAGATGCATGATAACTTAGCACTTCCAGTGTTACGCTCTGTTTGGCCATTGCAACAATCGCCTTTTCGTACATGTGGGTATTATGGATTCCCATGCCACAGAAAATTGCAAAGGCTTCCACAAAGTTCTCATCATTCTTTGTGAACGACTAATGGATAAACGTAATTCAATTAATGTCGATTTTCTTTGTCATATTTACGTAAATGAAACATTATGTCTGCGAAAAAGGCTCACACTCACCAGGCTATCAAATTTATTGATCAATTGTATCACACCGATAATTTGTCCAAGCGAATTCTTAATTGCCATACAAAGTATGGTTTTGTGCGTAAATGACGATCCATCATCCACACTTTGATCGAATCGATGGTCATCGTATGCATTGGCTATATTCACAGTTTCTCCCGTTGTAGCCACATGACCTGTTATGCCGATGTTTATGGGGAATCTCGATTCAAATGGGCTGGTACGTGGATTGCTCTCTTCTTCACTCACATCGTTCGCTTCGAAATCAAAAACACGCGAAAAACTTCCCTTCGACGCCTCGTGAACCAGCAGAATCTGTTGGAAAATAAACATTTTTTTTCACATCCAAATTGATGAGATAAAAGTGTGAATATATTTACCTGAACACGTTGACACTGAATCAAACTCTGCATATGTGTTAAAATCCGGAGCACCATGTGCTCAATCGTGCTTTGCTCCTCAAATATCATTCGAGCCAAGTCCAAAAGAACCTGATTTCTTTTTACTTCTAATTGAGATTTTTCATAAAGCTGTGCATTTCTTAAACCAATACCACAAAATTGAAGATACGATGAAAATATCTGAAAATTGGACGGAAAATTGACAATTTATAAAATTCGATTCGAGACTTTTTAAAAGAAGAAAATGTCTCTTACCTTTTCGTCATTTTCTGTAAATCTTTCACAATTAAGCTTGTTGATCACTTGTGCAACTCCAATCACCACACCGGAAGAGTCCTTAATTGGCATGCAGAGCAATGCCTTTGTTCGGTATCCCGTTTGCAAATCTATATCTCGATTGAAACGTTCGTCCTGTAAAATAAATGGAAATTGTTTAAGCACAAAATCGCATAAAAACATCTCTTTCACATTCGAATTACTTGATATGCATCTGGTATATTGACTGGTTCACCGCTATCAGCAACATGTCCAGCAATTCCATGTCCCCATGCAACACGCACTTCTTCATGTTGCTCTATTTCTTCGAGTGTACTCCGAGGACAGACGTCAAACAATTTGGACACCAAACATCTGTAAAGAAAATCATTCAGAATTAAAATGAATGCTTTCATTTGATTGGCCGTTCAAAAAAGTTAAAAATAATTTACTTTTTTGGTGCATCTGGATTGCTGCTGTCTGTGCATTTGCCTTGAACCAAAAACAATGAACCTCGATCCGCTTTTAGCAATATGGAAACATTTTGTAATATTTTGTGACACAAAGATCGCACATCCAGCTCATTGCAAATATCTTTCACCTTCGAGTTAAAAAGAACCGAATCTTAAATTTGTTTTTTTTTTTTGTAATTTCAATTTGAAGTGGCACTCACCAATTCAAAAATTAGCTGTTTTTCATCTAAATGCTTTAGTTCATTGCGCGACAATCGCTGTGGTCGATGTGGATGACTAGACGGACTTGATCCTGATGCTGAGACCATTTCATTCTGTGAACTTATACTTAAGAATGTTGGCGTTCCATCGATGGTATTTACAATTGGCTTCAATAAGCCACCTCGCTCAAATTCGTGTGCAGATATTTTTCTACTTGCAAAAAATAAAACAACAATATTCAATTAAACGAGAAGATAATTGGGTGTCGCATGAAAAAGAATGAACACTTGAATTGAACATACCGAACAGGAGTTGTGGCTCCCGACGATGCGCGACTCGATGAATTGTTCGGTGCATTTCCATGTATGGGCGATGGTATTTCCGTACTACCAGAATTTGCATGTGATATTAACCATGTATCAACTAACTGTCTCGTCGCTTTTCTGAAATCGAAAAAAGAAATGAGAATTCAATTGAGCAAAATGTTCGATTCAAAAGTTATGAAGACACTTCATTGGCGTGTTGATTTTTACCTGATAAAATAGTCCTGTACAAATTCTGGATTTTCGTCTAACCATGATTCGACGCGTGAAAATTCTGGATCATATTCATATGAGGTTTGGCATGATGGCAGGGAGACAACAGAACGTGAGCCAATACTATCGATTCGTTCTGTGCCCCCCTCAGCGGGCATTCTGTTTTTATTTGGTTCCTCTATGCTGCGCAAATGCAAACCTGAAATAAAAACAAAAACAAAGCACATTTTACTCAAAAGCCAACCTCGTTACAATTAATATTTCGGTCAGTTCATATCGATATCGGAAAAGTGACTGAACATTTAACTAATAATATGTAACGTATAATTGGTATATGTGACTATTTCGAAAAAAATCGATCACGAATACATATTTTTGTTTTTTTTTCTTTTGCGACAAAAAGAGAGCCAGAAACAACTAATCACATTAATTAATTAGGACAAACATTGTGTGTGCATGTGTATGTTTGTGTGATTCCCGCGTCAGCTTAACCAAAAAATGCGATCGAAACGAATTGGTGCGGCGAACACACGAAACGAGCATATTTCTATATTTAGAACTGTTTGTGGCTGTGAAAAACAACGAAAATATATGTATTTATACTAGATTTTTCCACTGAGTCAGTCAGTTCGCTTGAAATTCGATGATTTACTGGAATCGAGCGCATCGCGATCGAATTGAAAAAAAAAAAAGCACAATGAAAAAATGCACACGAAACAGATGTTGTATGCATTGTGCATATTCGATTGTGATCAAAGCCAAATCTATAGGCTGGAACACTGCACATTAGCCCATGTGAATATTCTTTAGTGGTTTTTCATTGATATTATAAAATGAGCACTTCTCAAAAGCATTGAAACAAAATTGATTGGTTTATCTGCTTTGTTGTGTTTTGAAAGTTCGATTTTTTTTTTCAGTTCTTTTTCATTAACTTGCCAATATAATAATTTATTGATTATACATGTATATGGCATATACGCTGCTTTGAATATAATTTAAAAATAACAAAAAAAAAGATATAATACGAAACACACAGTCACACACCGTTGACGTCAAAGGCTTGTAAAATATTACACATGGATTGGCAGCATTGAGACAAATGGCATGCATTAAATCCACAATTTCAATTCGCGCCAACATCACATAATTTATATGATGGGCAAGAACGAAAGGAGACATGTCAATATGATTTCTCTCTCTCTCTGTCTTGCGCGCGCTCACACTCCATCAATCGCACAAGGAATTAGGAAAATAATGGTGGTGACACTCAATTTAAAATAAATTTTTGTTTACATTTCTTCCTTCCGGTGCACATTAAGTGCATATTTTAATTACAGTGTGATTGGCATCATTTATATGAAAATAAATAATATGGAACGCGATTCATAAATAGGACGAGATATATTCCTACGTGAGAGTGTTTAAATTTGAATTCGTGCATGTCGTTCTTTAATACTTTTTGTGAATTCACATCACTTTTCATTCACATCAAATCGAATAAAATTACGAGTGTTGTTGCTGCTACTTCGTTTGTGATTTGCTTGCCTCTCTCGTCAACATTGTGTGCTCGAGCACAAGAAGATTTCCGACGACTTTAAGCTAATTGAAGTGTTTTAGAAGAAGCGCATCATTTCGTTAAATGTTCAATTGCGACATATTTACTTGTAATGTCTCTATGTTCTAACTCTGTGCTCATCGACCGTATTCTCTTTTTCACTTGAATAAATAAAACAGTTTTTTTTAAGCTTATGATCGCAAAAATACCGTCGATTACCGTCTCCTTAATGTCACTCATTTCAATTTAAATCGAAATTTGATCTCGTTTCGAGCACAATGTTTGCATTAAATTCACACAAATAAACGTGTATGCTTATTACTTGACTTTTGTCACTCTCTTTATTCCACAATTACGGTATTTGTTTTTCAACTTATTCTTCAATTTCGATCGCATTCATACGACTATGGCAATAAGTACCTGGAAATAGCACTTGACAAAAAAGCATTAACAAGAAATTGTTAAGTGGAAAACCTTTTGTTTCATCATCATTGTTGATGTGTCTGTTTGAATTTTGCGAGTAGTGTGATTGTTGGATGCATTGTACTTAACATCAGAATCAGAGATTATACACTGTGTGTTGGGTGTTTTAACTTATGTTTTAACTCGGTGTATGTATGTGTTTTTTTTTCTTATTTAGAATTGTTTTTTTCTTATTTATTGATTATTGTGGTTAAGCTGCCAACTTGACTTTTAAGAACACTGAAGTGTTTCCGAAGAATTTTTCGTAACGTGTGTTGTTGTTGCTGTTGCTTTTTTTTATTTTCAATTTATATTTAATTTAAAAATCACTCGAATGTCTCTGTTGCAATGACTGCACAATCAGAATATATACATAGTCTAGTGTGTAGCTTTTCAACGATTCCGCGAATATATCAAATCCCCATAAACTCTCTCAATCATTTATTCTTTCTCCGTCTCTCTATCTTGGATAGTCACTGTATTTTAGAAGAGACAATAATTCAAAATAATATATTCATCAAAAAAACTGCTTTAGACCACCTTTAAACATTGAAATGTCACCGACAAAAAAAAATTGTTTCGTATGTTTATCGTTTTGTACATATATTTATTTATATAATAATTTTTATCTGCGTAGATTCTCTCGCATAGGATGAAATCTTGTCAATGATGTTATAAGAAAAACAATATTTATAAAAAGGGAAGAGATTGAAATGTATTTATATGTATTGAAATGTAAACTCGCAACTTGAGTTCGAAATCGAAACAGAATGAAAGAAACAAAAACACAATTTGAAACCGGCTCCTTTACGCATCAAGATAAATTTGTATTTTATTTGCATATACACAAAATCGCACCATAAAATGATCAATGCAAATATTCAATATATACGAATTTTATTGTTGTTTCGTTCAAAACTGACCACGAGAGAGATGAAAAAAAAAAGATTTTTTTTTTTAAATGTAGCAGTAACAACGAGCACGACACGAAGAGAGCAGTACGAACGAAAAAACGTGATCCACAAAAGAGATACACACAACAACAATGGACAACAATGCCAAACATCCGTCGCGACAAAACTGAATACAGTTCAGCATTTGTCATATAGAATACCGACATGCACCATGAAACGAGAGAGATAAGTAACATACACTCAATGTAGAACGAATAGTAGCATGTATGTGTTGTATGTTTCAACATAGTGTGTGGTGTATATAATAAAGAAGGAGAAATGTCTGAGCACGTACGAGCATGTGAGTGATAATGTTGAGCGCTACAAATGTGAATGTAAAGCAAACACTCATAAATGCTCTCCATACATTTAAAATAAAAATTGATTCATTTGTCGTGGACATCACATTGCACAGACTAAAACAACTGGCAAAACAGTTTGCCATATGCCATATTACTCTGCCAAAAATGATTCATTGCAACCAGCGTATATGCCCACACTTGAAATTGCCATCACAATTTAAAGTGATGAAATAATACAACCGTTTTTCTTCTTCTATTTTTGTCGTCATTATTGCTTTGCAACTGTTTTCGATGATTAACACAAAAAAATTTGTGATTTATTGTTCAAAGTGAAATTTACTACAAAGTTTTTATTTTTTATGTTTCGTTTTCCGAGTCACATTTTCAAATCGGCATATGTGTGTAGCGTGGAATATGCTATTGCCGTTTGTGTGTATATACACTTTAAGTTCGTACATTGTTGGAACAAGAATTACAAACACCACGTTGTGGCGTACGTGCGATTCTCGTGTTAGTTTATTCACACACAACGGCTAATATATGGAGTGCATTGAAACGTGATATTGTATATACGACGATTTGTTCCGTTTGTCTTGAAAAAAAATGTTCATTCAAATCATCGGAGCCACTTAACCGATGCTTATCTCTTTCAGTCTCATTCTCTCTCTGTCTCACATACACACTCTCAACAGCACATCACCACAAAATCGTAATCATTTTGCAGTGATAAATAGTCTTCTTCTAGTCATTGTTTTGGCCTGACAAACATTTCAATTAAATACGTATTTCGAATGTTTTGAATCTCTATCTCTCACTTTTTGTTCTGTTCTGTATTGTTCCATTCGGTGGGATCATCATAACAATAAAAAAAGTGAGACCTTCGGCGCACTTTTTCTTTTTGATTAATTACAACTTGACTTCGATTGACAGTCCGAATTGTGTTTTGTCTTCATTAATAGACAGAGAATAAAGAATTTATCATTCTTAATCCAATATCGCACTGATTAGTGATGAACTTCGTCATTCCATTTCCAAATGCATAATTTATTAAATCTGAATTACAGACATCAATAATCCAATTAAATTGCTTACATTGATGCCTTTCATTCTTACATAATGATAAATAATGCGTTTTTTTTTCTTTCTTTCTGTCAATAATTCCGATATGATGACGCAAATTCAAAGCCAAAAAAACATACATACACACGCACGCCAAATGAAGCCTTTGAACATTTCTTACTCATTCAACCTGAACACGCTTGCAAGTATGAGTATACATTTTTTTTTTCTGCCGTTATGAATAATAATTAACAAAACGTATCTAGGTTTGGCTTATGTAAAAAGAAATCCACACACTCATCATTATATTCCAGCGAAATAAATGAGCAGCCACAGAAAGGAATTTTCCATTCATCATCGTCATGCCAAGAGTCAATTACATGGAAGTAACTCATCATTAAACCGTTATTCCTGATTTGCCGTAAAATGTAAATGTTCATTTGTCGATTGGCAATCAAAGTCATAAACAATCATAATTCCAGTAATGAAGAGCCAAGAGAGCGAATAAGCGATAGAAAATAGCAACATTCTATTGAAGCATCGTGCTCAAGTCCATGCGATGACTTTTCATTTATTGCACACGCGTGTACAATGCAAAAAAAAAAAAAAAAAAAAAAAACAAACAATGAGTTTTATATTCACTTACCCGCTTTTTTACGCCAATGAACCGGAAGATTAAGATTAGTATTATTACAGGCAGCCAGTGTGATGGAATGAAATGAAAATCCTGAAAGAGAAAAGCAGAAAAGTAAACAATCATTGTTCTTGTTGAAAAAAGGCATCAATTATGCATATTTCTTATTAAATAGTAAAGAGTCTGCAAATATTTAAATAAAATTGTTTGCCGATTCTAGATCAGAGGTTTTTGCAATCAAAGATCAAATAAAACGACTATGATATTTTTTATTGTCACACAAAAACCAGTTGTTTGATTAGAAACCGCAATTAATTAAACCAGTAATTCCTATTTCCCCATGAATTTTGACCGGGAATTTGAAAGGAAAATAAAACAGACAGACAGACGCACACACACCATTCGACAATCGATTGAATCTTTTGAATTGCTTCGCCTTTAGACAAAATGAACGCGATCTGTATGTGTTACGTCTTTGTGACATGCAAATGAATAACAAATAAGTGGAAAAAATGCTGAATGGAACAAAAAGTGAGCATAAATTGAAAGGTGGCTTCATTCAAATGAATTTCGGATGGCTTTTGTTTGCATTTTGTTTGTTTTGGGTGTGTGAGCATGTTTAATGTGTATGTACATGTATCGATATGATGCTCTTTTACCGCTTACTTTAACCAAATCGGTTCGTTTCTATTAATTTTGTTTTGATTGTGTGAAATATGCACTAAAAGTTGTTCGACGAGTTTACAATTTGCGATAATGTGTTTTGTATAGTGTTTTTTTTTCTTTCTCTTCGGTGTTATTTAACATGGTAACAAATCGGCTCATCGACATGACTGAATCACTGCCGATGGCGACAAACAATGGAGTCAAGGGAGCGCATTTCATTCGAATGCGAACGATGCCAATTTATGAGATCTAAACGCGTGTTACTATTGACACGCCACACGATATAGGTATGTCACTACTCAACTTACACTAAACTAACTGTGTGATAATAGAGCAAGCAAAAGCGGGAGAGAGCAAAAGCAAAACAAAATAACCACACAACACAACAAACTCATTCAGACAATTTTGAAACTTTCGATACGAATTGATTGAGGAAAATTATGGTAGGCTAAGGAAAAAAACGGCAATCGTAATTGTGGCGATGGCCACAAACACATTACGTCGACAATATATATTATATTGTAACAACATCAACAAAACAGATGATGATGCAAAAAGAACACATTACTCATTGATAATTTCACTGTTATACATAGAACACAATAAAAAAAAAATCTGCGCATACATGTGTTCATTGTTCATATTATATACAAATTGCCTATGTACGACCTATAATCTCTTGTTCTGTCTTTTCTTCTTTTTTATCTTCTTTTGCCATTCTCATTCTGTCTGTGTGTTTATTTTTTTTCAAGTCCCGCGTCTTAATTTACTATCTAAGTGCGCAATGTCGCACCTAGTGAGCGCACTTATGTATTTAAAAAAAAAGAAGGTGTGTTTTGGCTGTGGAAATATGCAATTTCAAAAATAACAGTCGATCGTATATGAATTCTTACATGTTGTACCGAATTTACATAGACAAGGACAAAAAGTGTGCTCTTTTATGAAAAAAACATAAAAAAAATGTGTAGTATGATAGAAGCTGCCTCCACCAGAAGAGAAAATAGCTCTCGTTCGAATTGAATATCAACGATTTCGAATGGGTGTTTAATAGTGTTAGAAGGTTTTTTAATTTGTTTAGAAGGTAAAGTGACACACACTTGAAGTATATATATATATGTGTATATATCAGTTTCCTTTTGGGTCGATGTGTTTATCTCTCTGCGAAATGAGGCAACAACGATAAGTCACGAACCGTAAAATATTACACATAGAGTCTCATACACTATTTCAATGAGCTTCGAATTGAATTTAAGACAACGTCTACGATTATAATAATTGATTACTTCGCAATTATCACATGAACGAACTGAACGAAACACAAAAAATCACACGACTCAATCGATATTTTTTTTATTACGTCGAACGAAATTTCTCCAATTCGTAGTCCGAAACGTTTTTTGTTGTCATTGGATTGGAACACACGAGAAAATGGTTTTGAATAAAAAAAAAACTTTAATGTTTAATTGTTGTTTTTGTAAGTAGCTGCTGTCTGGTTTTCATACGACACTTCACTTGAAATTCTATAATCAGATTTTTCACAGAAAGAAGGCCCCTCCGTTCACATACATTAAAAAAATAGTCGCAACGTAGTGTCGTCACTATGCTTTAAGCTTTTGTCTTTTATTTGATTTTAATCATTAACTTTTTTTTTCGCATTCAGTATTTTTCCAGATATATTCACTTTTTTTTATTCAGAAAGATGCCGCGTCGTTTCTCTTCAATAGACTCTTCTTTTTTGCTCTTTAATTCTCTGCTGTCAAATGTATAATTTTCTTTTTTTTTTGTTTGAGACTATTTTTTTTAATGATTAAATACTTTTCATGTCGTCGATGTTGTGGTTGTTCTTGATGTTTGTTATTGTCCGCCACCAGTTTATTAGCCACTCTGATGTTTTTGTCACTTTGTTTTGCCCATTAAAAAAATGAGACGTCACTTTTTTGTTCGTTTGTATTTTATATATTTCACTTGAAACGAAAATTATCAACAAGAATACGAACGCAAACACGCAAACAAAAAAATTTATATCTTGCTTTTTACAATTGGTGTTGACAATTGCACGCGAAATTTTCGACGAACGAAGAAGAAGAAGAGAGAAAATAAAACAGTCCAACACAAAATTGACAATGAACGCCAATCGATATAATAATAGGACAAATAATGAATGTATGTTTCTTGCAAAGAAAGTCAACAATATAATAATGATTGCAATAAGTAATCAAAACACGAAAATTTCCAAAATGTTTTTACTTGTTGCCGTTTGACTGACTGAACACGAACGATCACTTCAGACGCACACGAAAAACAGACGGAAACCAACGAGCAACAACAACAACAAAAAAAAGAGGCAAAATTACGCCAAACCCGAAAACACAACGATACGAGATATGCTAAGTGCGCGAACGATTTACATAAACTGAAGTAAAACCGTCACAATGGCATTTGCTTTGGCGAAATTCACTCTATAGTCATTCATCGTTTCTTATAGCACATCTACATGTATGTGCGCTTGACGCCGAGTCACTGCAGTCGATGAGAATGTGGCAAACCCGTGATATTTGTCCGAAGCAATGTCAAATACGAAATTTATTTGACACAAACCTGAACCATTTTTTTTCTCTTTTTTTTTCAATCGTTAGAATGCGATTGCCACAAAATTAGCATAGATCTTTGGACATGTCAAACTGGAACTATTAGAGTGGCATGTAAACGATAGGGTGAATAATTTAAAGCAATTTACGGACACAGACCGGACGGGTTTTGTTTTATATGAACACATCGCGAAGCACATCGCGCACACATTTTAGATCGCGTGAAGCGTGTGAATCGATGTATTGAATGCTATCCATGTGGTTAAATTGTCAAAGTGAGCGTTGAATCATCCAAAGCAAGTGCTTTGGTTGTGCGTGTTTATTTTTTTATTCTTCTCTCTGATTGCAGTGGTATTAGTTTGCTAGTATAGTTCCGATGGTTTTTATATGGCAAAGCATTTTTTTTTTTGCATTGAAGTCACAATTAAATTGTACTAGTTGCTTTCTGTTTATTGTGTAATTTTTGTGTGTCGCGGCGTGCAAACGGTAAAACAAATACTGTTGTCGACCACACAACATTTCGCCTCTCTCGCTCTGTCTCTTTCCATCTGTACACATTTACTTTGTAGTTGTTGTTTTATTTTCCTGTTATTGACTGTTTCATCTCTCGAACAATACGGAATTTAATGCCTGGCTAAAATTTGTTTACGTTAAAACAGCGGTTTGTCGTTGTCTTGGTGGTGGGCTTGTAATTATTTTATCACTTTATTATTATTATATTTCAATGTACGATTAGAATTATTTCGTTGACATCATATCGAGCATGTTATTACACCAAAAACAAACGGATTGCCAAACAAAATAAGTAAATAAAGAGTCTAAATCTGCACAGAAGCACTTTTTTTTATTAAATCATATAAATTATTAGTTAAGCCAGTTGCGTTCTCATTTATTTCGATTGCTGCGAAATTGAGCATGTAATTTTGTTGTTGGACTCGTATTTGGATGTCATCAAACTTTATTTGCTTTACGAGAGGGGAATTCAAGTAATTTTACAACATTTGAATTGACAAGAGCGTAGAAACAGAAAACAAAAAAATAAGTAGAATGAACCAGAATGAACCGTTTGAAGAGTTGTTAATTGAAATTTTGTCTGCGTAATTCATTTACGAAAAATTCTCGTGCTTTTAAGAATTCCAAAAATTTTAACATTTTTTTTTTGTGTTTACTTCGAACACTCGATATCGGTTTTTAACAGCACCTTTCGTCAGTTTGAAAAATAAAAAAGTTTTCAAGTTTTCGTTGGCCCGAATCGTTCGATTCAATATACTCGGTTGCATTTTAAGGACAAATCATTTGAGTTTTTGTTTTGTTTTCAAGTGTAACAATGATTTTATCAATTGTAAACGATACGTTTATTTATGCAAGACATAAAATAATTGAACAACATATAAGTTTTTCTAGTGATATACTCTTGAATCGAACAAAAAAAAACGCACCGTGCCAACCTTCAACGATAACAATTTATCGAATTGCATAAATATATTCCTGTCACACAATTGTCATACGCCTGATAATAACAATAATGAATTTAAACAAAAAAGAACCACCTATACACCATGATGAGCATTTACTTCATCCTTAAACAATGCTTTTTCGAATACAGGTCACATACGATAATGCAAACTACGTCTCTCTCTCTATGTTCCTGACGTTGTATGATTCTTTTTTTTTTTTATTATTTCGCCAAGTATTAATTTGAATGAACAATCAAAATTGACAATCATTTCAACACATATCATTGCGCACTTACCTTGAATAAAATGAATTAATTTATTGCGTCTGCTTTGCAATATTTCACTTCACACTCGCTTTCTGATATATACTATTCGAGGAATTTAATCAGCGATTTGTTTTTCACTTCACACTTTTCAAAAACCAAATAAAAAATTTGTAGTAATTTTTTTCTACTTCTAACGAGAACGAAAACTCTAGAGAGAACTGTGTCGATTTTGTTTATTATATATAAATAATTTTGTGTCGATGCCGAGGATTTAGTTCTGGTCTAAATAATTTTCACATCGAGTTAAGTAATACATCCTATCATCGAAGATGAGTCTGAATCATGCAAATATAATGCAGAGAATCAAAAATCTCGTTGTATAAAAATATTCGGATTTTTTTCTTCTTCGTTTTACGCAAACAGATGGTTGTTTGACTCAAAAATGAATGAATTTATTCATCGAGAAAAAAAAAACACGGATCACATTTTCACTCGAAGAAAAAGAGCGCAGTTTTAGTTTCACCCTGCGTTTATGTTGTGGAAAATTTAAAAATCGAGCGCGTAAAAATAAAATGTGTGCGGATGCATGCAGTATATTGTAAGTATCCAAACAAACTGAGCGTTTACTTTTCAATTTATTGGTTTCTATTTCGCATAGACCCTCTCTGCTATTATGTATTCAGCACCGAATGTAATTTGTTATAATATAGACATGTGTTCGACACGAAAATTTATATATTTTTTTGGCACGAGTTAGCTAACACATACATTCTGTCCATTTTGATAGTATATTGTGTGCGCGCGCTATTTCACGTTTATTATGTGGTTTTTGTGTGCGGTATTTGTTATCGACGATAGCTTTAGTATTAATGTGCTTATATATACAAAATGTGTGTGTATATTTATTTAAATTTTTGTGTGTTAGATATGTGCGACACGATTGAATTTCGCGCATTAACAAGAACCAATGCGCCTCTCTGTCTTTTATTGAAAAAACAACAACAGCAGCGGCAACAGCCAAAGGGAGTCTCATTTTAATCATGTACACAAAACATCATATTATTTACTCTCGTTTCAATTTCTCATTGTGCAATTATTTTTGGGGCCCAAATGAAGCCGCTATTTTTAGCAAACTAATTTGATTCACGCATTCGAGCACGCACTGTTATTATAATCATCTTCAACGTCAAATGGATATACACTTATAATTATTATTTTTCGCACCCTCTTTGAGCACATTACAATGTGTAAAACATAAGAACGAATACTCAGAACTTTATTTATTTTGATGGAACAAAATATCTATAATCAAGTTTTATGGCGCCAAGGAAAACAGTCATAAAATTTCATAATAATCACAGTTAATTTTGCGCAGTAAGTAATTCACATAAATGATTAAACAGTGCAGTATTCAAATGTAGCACACCAATTGAATTTCCACAACTATATTACAGCAATGCCAATAGAGCATATCCGATCGATGTTATTAATCGTTCTTAATCGTATACAGTTCACTGTTTGAAACAATTGTTGTAATCGTAACATTGAATTTCTGTCCAAAAATACAAAATGTAAAACATCTTTTTTTGATCGGATCGTAAAGCATCTTTTTCAAGTGAACAAAAAGAATTTGAATAGCGATTTTCAATGAATTTATTGCATTAAATTGATAGTGAATTTCACATGTTTAAATGGTGTTTTAATGAAGAGACATATGATTTTTCTTTATTTTGAATTAAATTCGTTGTTTTTTATTCCTCGAGCATCTTTTCCAACTTATCTTGCTTCATCACAACTCCCTCTATAAACTCATATTCTCTATAAAAATAAAAGAGAAAAAGAGAGATTTCATTTGCATGTTACGCTTAATTCAAGTGTCTATATTTGCTTGTAATGTAGATTGCAAAAAATTACTTGTCTGAAAATTCCAAAATTTCCACGTTGATATTTTCGGGTATCTTTTCCATTATAATGTTATTTACTCTTTGAAGTAAATCAAGCATGTTTTTTTTTGTTGCGATTTTCGAATTGCCATATGGACCGCCCTTCAAATATTCAAACGCCCCATCTAGAATTGCTTTATCAGCCCTGAAAACAGGTGAACATGTATTAAACGTTTATTTTCAACGAAAAAAAAAATGAATGGATTTTTTAAATTCTTACATTTTTCAATCTGTTCAATTTGTTTGCCGGACACCCAATATTTCGATGATGTGAAGCCGAAAATATGGTCAGCGTCTAATTATATTATTACGAAAATACAAATTGCTTATGAAAAAAATGTGTTCAATATCGTTTTCAATTGATATGAAGAGAAACAGTTTTAAAGTTGACTTCAACGAGTTCCTTTTATAGCACGTTTCGTTGACATTTAAATGAAAAGTGAATCTACTGAACTGTCGTCCCACTGAACTGAAATTTTGTTTTGGTTCAATACAAAATAACAACACACACTTCTATTCAACATATGTTTGTGCATTACGAAACCTGACGTTCTACGACTGGAATTGGAGCGTTAGCCAAGTTCACAACCATTTACGTATTTTATCAAGTCGTAAACATCTGCTCTGTTCAGTAAAAAAAAATCAGTGAATTCATTTGCGCATCAAATCATTTCAATGATATCTAGTTATTATTGAAAATAAAATTTGTTGAAAACGATTTGGTTTCGATCAAAAACATTGTCCGAACGAATTTCAAACAAAGTGTGCAGTCTTTGAGTTGTTTAGTTTTCAACGGAAATTTTCTTTGTTTACATTTCCCCTTCGAGAATAAACGTCAACGGTTAGCTCTTTGTGTACAATGAGTGACTTTTATTTCTCTCATTTTTATATTGATGAATAAAATATGGCGTCTTCATTATAGACTAAACATCCAAACAGACTGTGTGAAATTGTTTTTTGCATTTTGTGAAAATTCGCTTCGAAATTGATTTGATTTTAAGTGTTGTTTGTGAAAAAAAGGATTGCGTGAAACGCAAAATATACGATTCAAATAAGAAAAAAGTCGAATGGTATCGGTTCTTTTTTTTGATTTACAAAAATACTTTGCCCTTTCACACGCATCGATAAACCAAATGGAAATGCGTTGAATTTTTCTATGCGAAAATAATTTGTGATATTTTAATTCGATTTAAATAAGTCATCTGCAAAATGAGCACTTCAAATAGTAACACACTGCCTGCCAATATCAATGCAAACAATCAAAGTTTGGCTGCTGAAGGTGTCGTCGAAAGAGGAAGGTTTGTATTTTTTCTTTTAATAGAAATACCAATAGATTGCATATCAGTAGTATGACTGTTAGCCGTTTTTCAATTGGATAATTTTGTGTTGTTTCTAGTTGTTTCCTGTTGCGATACGCGAGCCAAAATTCATTGGATGAAAGTTCACAAAATAAACTCCCGCGCTCATCAAAGGATAAAACGGCTGGCACATATCAAAATGATGAACACACTTTCAAATGTTTCAAAGCGATGAATGAAATGCGAAAAAATAGTCTATTCTGTGACGTCACATTGATTGCGGAAAATATGGAAATTCCAGCCCACAAAATGGTGTTGGCATCATGCAGCCCATATTTTTATGCAATGTTTTCTGGCACGGATTTTGAAGAATCGCATCAAGATAAAATCCATGTCCACGGCGTTGACTATCACGCACTTCAGTTGCTTGTTGAATACGTGTACACTTCATACGTTGGTGTGACTGAAGACAATGTTCAGGTAATACACACACACACACACACACACACATTCATTCACACATCACTTTATATCAGTAAGCATTAATTGTTATTCGATTGTTTCAGACTCTCTTAACGGCTGCAAATTTGTTGCAATTGACTGATGTTCAACAGGCGTGCTGCGATTACCTACAAATGGAATTGGATCCATCGAATTGTTTGGGCATAAGAGATTTTGCTGACATTCATGGCTGTGTAGATCTGCTTAACTATGCAAACACTTACATTGAACAGCATTTCGCTGAGGTCATTCAATATGATGAATTTTTCAATTTGCAACATGATCAATTGATTAATTTGGTGAAAAGCGATCATTTGACCGTTGGCACAGAAGAAAAAGTCTATGAATCCGTTATTGCATGGATTCAATTTGATAAACAGGATAGACGCAAATTTTTGCCCACTCTTTTGGAGCATGTGCGTTTGCCATTGGTGAGCCAAGAATATTTGGTGAATCGAGTTGAGAATGAGCCATTGCTCAAAGAGGATTTACTTTGCAAAGATTTTATCATTGAAGCGCTAAAATATCATTTGCTAAAAGGTGATGCAAAAAATATATTGAAAACGACACGAACAATTCCACGACAACCGATCGGATTGCCGAAAGTTCTGCTTGTTATTGGGGGTCAGGCACCGAAGGCGATTCGAAGTGTTGAATGCTACGATTTGAGAGAGGAACAATGGTACCAAGCCGCTGAAATGCCAAGCCGGCGATGCAGGTATACTGTCGAAAACAGAGCTCTTCAAGTGCTTGAGTCGAAAGAAATGTTTTAATCAATTGTTTTTATGGAACAGAGCCGGACTTGCTGTGTTGAATGATAAGGTGTATGCTGTGGGCGGGTTCAACGGCAGTCTTCGCGTTCGCACTGTTGATGTTTATGACCCAGCTACAGATTCATGGTCAGCAACTTGCAGCATGGAAGCACGCCGTTCAACATTAGGTATTTACGCAATTTGATGCGTTTTCAATATAAATTCTGCCAATCGTTATGGAAATCAAATGACTCATTCTATTGATTTTTGTTTTCCACAGGCGTCGCCGTATTGAATGGATTAATATACGCAGTTGGTGGTAAGACATAAAATATATTTTGTTTTATTTCAAACATCTTATGATTTTTTTCTTTTTTTTATTGTAGGTTTCGATGGCGCCACTGGTAATAATTATTGACTTGAAATAAAATACAAAATGTAAATACACTTCACTTTCAATGACACTTTGGATTTGTTTGTTTCAGGTCTAGAGAGTGCCGAGGTATATGACCCGAAAACCAACACATGGACTATGATTGCATCGATGTCAGCACGACGTAGTAGCGTAGGCGTTGCTGTTGTTCACAATCAATTATATGGTTTGTTATTATATTATATGCCAATATAGAGAAATAAAGCAATAATGTTTTTCTTTTCTATTTATTGAACCAATTTAGCGATTGGGGGATACGACGGTGCTGTGCGTCAATGCCTGAACTCGTAAGTAAAAAGCAATTTTATCTTTTTATTATCATACTCAACGGTTACTCATAAAATGGAACAATAGTAACATTTTTCGAATTGCGTCATACACAGGGTTGAACGATATAACGTTGAGAAGAATACATGGCAAAGGATATCCGATATGAATGCAAGACGGTCTGGTTCGGGTGTTGGTGTTGTTGACAATGTCCTCTATGCTATCGGTGGTCACGATGGCCCCTTGGTACGAAAGAGCTGCGAAAAATATAGTTTTGAGACAGATTCTTGGAGTTCAATTGCTGGTATGAATCTTTTTTTTTTTCAAATTCAATTTTTTTAAATAAAACCAGTAATAATATTTTAAAATTTAGATATGAATTTCCGACGTCGCAACGCTGGTGTTTTGAGCCATGATGGATTATTATACGTAGTTGGTGGTGATGATGGCAGTTCGAATTTAAATAATGTTGAAGTCTATTGTCTGAAAACCGATACGTGGCGCATATTGCCAAGTTGCATGAGCATTGGACGCAGTTATGCTGGAGTGTGTATTGTGGATAAGCCCATGTGAAAACAACAGCAGAGTGCAGCAGCACGGTACGCAAATTGTTGTGGAGATGATGATAGTCAAGCAGAAGGTCTGTTTGACGCATCGACTGGTGTAACACGTTCAGATAATGTACATCGCATTGCAAGCACCAGCAATCAAAATAATCAAAATACCATTCGAAATCCACACTATGAGAATATTTATGAATCCATTGATCAATTCGCTACTGTAAATGCTCCTGCCTCTGCTGAAAATCAACATCAAAATATACCTGTTGCCGCCGCTGTATCAGCAAACAATGGTCGCATCAACATTCGTCCAAACCGAAACAACGCTAACATCGCCAACAACAGCAATTTCCATTATAACGCATCACCATTTCCACATCCACGAAATGGGGCCGCATATGATGTGCCCCGTCATGCACGAAACTATTATGCATCAAATATTGGTACGGCATGTCGTCGAGCCACAATCGAATCGAATCACAATCGAATACGATATGCAAATCGCACCTTTCGACAACGTAGTTTTGACGATGCCGAATCTTATTCACCAAATAATAATTTCCGATATGAGAATATTTATGAACAAATCCGTGAGGAGCCGATTTATCGAAATATCGGTTTGAATCGTGGCAATGCAGCCAATCGATTGTATGGCCGTATGGATGTCATTGGTCATGGAATCGGTCGTATTGAACGTCATTTGAGCAGTTCATGCGGAAATATCGATCATTATAATTTGGGTGGAACGTATGCCATCTTAGGACATAGTCATTTGAGCACGGTTGGTCATGTTTATGCATCGAACAATGCCAAAGAGACGGCCGGTAAAAGTTCAAACTTTTTCAGCTGTTTGGGAAGAGAAAATTCACAATCCATGAGCAACATATGCCGGGAATCAAGTAATAATGGCAACAACTCAACATCAGAACAAGCAACTGCGGCTGCAGCCGTACCCACAGCCGCACAATCCACTTCACAAAATGAAAATGGCAATAAACACACGGGCGCCATTCCGAAGATCAAGAATAAAATGCAAAATGCAATACGAAACACTGGCTCAAATCCATTACATTCCACTGCATTGAATCGCATTTCGAAATCATCATTACAGTGGCTTTTGATGAACAAATGGCTGCCACTTTGGGTAGGCAATGGCCCCGATTGTAATGTGCTCGATTTTAATTTCATGTTTTCGCGCAATTGTGACGGATGTGAAAGAGATGATAATGTAATGCTCTATGATGCATCAAATTCGAATGGCGGTAATGTATCATTTGCAAATTACCGCGGAGATTTCGGCCAAGATAATTACTATAGCATATCACGCCCAATGCGTTACAATAATAACAGTTTGATGCAATTCAATTCGCGACGCATGTACGGACCGATTCAACAAGCAAACTATCGACCGCATGAAGGGGATAATTCTGGTTATGATATGTCTTACAATTTCCGGACACATCAACCGGAAAATCCATTCCGAAGATGGGAATTGAATTCGGAAAATAATTCATTTCGTCCGGCTCCCTCTGGACAGGTGCGAAGAATCACCGATGGTACCATTCCAAAATTCTCAAATGGCAACCATCAGAATAATAATAGTCAAGTTCGTGTCGAGGTCACTCATAACCCGACCGAAGCAAACGCACCAAGTACTTCATCGGTCCCAAATGCTCAGTCAACATCAAATGCTGGTAACACCAGTAATGCTGAACCGTCAACTTCACAACTACGGACCGATCGAAGAGCATTTGAGAATGTGACTTTGAGCAGCAGCACAGAGAGCACATCCGAAGCTGCTGAGAACAAAGTTTTATCACCCGATTTGTCGACAGCGCGACGTTTCTCTGAAAATACAGAGGACGACCAATACAATAGCAGTGGAAACTCATCGAGCTCTGACGACGACGGAAATGATGATACGATTAGCGAATTCAATACAAATGACAACACCGACAATTCAGACAGATTTAATGAGCAATCAAATTAATCCAATTATAAACCAATTTTACACCATCCAGCGAATTCATACGGCATTCATATTATATTGAACAGTTATTACACATATATCCATTCGAATCACTTACTCATTCGACAAAACTTTTAAATTTTTTAATGAATCATGGTTTGCAATGGTCTCTTTTTTTCTCTCTTTCAAAATATCATATACATATATACAAACATATTGTGTCACACATAAAATTCAATTATTATAATTATGCAGATTTCATTCGAGTTCTATTGTTCATAAGATTATAGCAGGCTCAAAATATACACTATTAAAATCGTACGATTCAAAATGATTGTACTTTTTCATTTTGGTTAATGTCATTGAGCATATTATTCATTTTTTAAGCTGAGGTAAGTTGTTGTGCAGGTGTGAGTTGAAAACTGAAAGTTCTACTGGAATTTATGGACAATTATCGAAAGTAAACCTTTTGCAAACCATTCGCAAAGCAGTGGACAACTGGTAATGTCCACTACTGTCGTTATACATGACTATGGCATAATGTGAATGGCCATTCTGAAGTGTGATCTAGATTCGATAACAGGGGGAAAAACTCGGTAGAAAAAAGACAACGAAATTAAGCGTATATCGCATTTGCACATTGTACATCAGTAGTAGTGATTGAAACGGTTCAGTGCACCATCTAAACGGTTTAAACAAAATTCTCACGCTAATGAACGTTAAAAGTTCAAGAAATTAATTTTCTTTTTTTTTCGCTGACGTAAAACCCCTTCAATTAAATGGTTTTCTTTCAACGTGATTTTGCTCACGATTGCATCATCAAATTAAGTTTAAAATTTTAATATCAAATAACAATACTGCCATAGACGAGGTCCATTATTTGTATTTGTGACATTTTGCTCTCGATTTGGCGCGTCAGATGAGAATTTTATAAGCCGTACTTGAAATCATAGTCATATGTCAAACTATTGATGTTATCCATAAATCTTCCATACAAATAAAATACTTTTCCGTTCTGTAATAAGATCAATCGCATGTTGGTGCTTGTGATATTACACGTTCAATTCCGCGTAAAAAGGGAGACAAGCGCGACCGAGAGAACGAGACAAAAAGGCAAATTTGAAATATGATCGAGTAAATTGAATCGTTCTCTCTGGCAAATTTGATTTTCCCGACAGTCAAGAAAAAAAAAAATTATTATTATTAGCTATAAATTTGTGGCGAGTGCAGTAGACGCGCGCTACTTAATCCGCATTGTGGATTTGCGCATGCAATTCATATAACGGACATTGAAAACTGTTAAATCAATACCGACCGACGTGTAATCGACAATTTTTTTTGAATAAACAAATCTTTTGCGAATCGCGAGAACGCTATGTTCAATTCATTTTGAACATGAACAAATAAAAAAGAAAATGAGTGTGGCACCCACAGGCAAATGCTATACTACTGATAGCAATCGAAACATGCAAAAACAAAAACTTCGTATAAATTACTTCGTAAAGAAAAACTGTAGTGTAACGGAAATTATATATGCAGAGAGATATGAATCACAACTTAGAATTGAACAGAATGACACCTTCTCATTCTCTTTGTTACGTTCGTACATTACGACAATAATTTTGCATGACTTGCATTGCATAAGTGCGTTAACAAGAAGCGAAATATATGGTAGCGTACAGTTTTTAATCACTCTTGCCGAACAAGAGATAGCAGCAGCACATAGAACGGTCACGTCCACCGAAAATCATGATCCGCCAAAAAATCAGAGCAGGATAGAAAAATAAATCGAACCTTTTTTTTTGTGTAAACATTTTAATAATTCACATATATGTTATTTGGGCCGATCAGCCGTATGCCATTATCATACTGTCTCATTCATCACCTTTGAATAGGTTCACACTGATTATACTGTTGTTGGTTTTCTTAAATAAAAAGCAAATTGATTGGTGAACCTTTCATGCAAACCTCTTACGTGTGTTCGTTGTAATAATAATTAAAGTGGGCAAACTTAGCACATACTCAAAAAAAAATCCATCGAAGTACAAATATCACAAAAATTCAATCATGCGGTATTGCCGCCGTGTTGTTTTGCATGACGATCCTTTGCGAGATTCGAAACAACGAATAAATAAGATATACAAACAACAACCGCAGCAGCAGCGGCAGCAGCATTAAATGTTTTGTTTGTGTGGTTGCCGTTCGAATGAATATATATATTATCCATATATATTCGGTTGTTGTGAATGTGATTCGCACTTTTGATTGAGGAGAGTAAAAAGACTCTCATTCACTCAGTAGTATTTGCATACGATTCGGCGAGTTCAGTGTTGATCGATAGCTTGCTTCGAGAGCAACTGTTTTTGTGTGCTATGCTATGGTGTGTAGCTATCTGTGTATTTCTTGCTATTTAATTTAGTTTATAATTTGAAATATTCGTGTAATATTACCAACTGTCGAACGTTGGCGCCCAATGTTCCATGGGCAGATATTGAAATTTTGTTTTGATTTTAGTTTATAGGAACTTATGCTTCAAGTTCATTATTGTGTTCAATCGAAAAATATGCATATAATACTGTAAATGCGTTTGTGAGTGTGTTATTATTCTGTATATATTTCATATTATTATTATTTATTTTTTCGATGTTCTTGCAAATGCAAAATTCAATATAATTACTTAAGTAAATAATTACCGTCAAAAGCGTACACGATAAATGAGCGGGAGCGAAGTAAAACAAAGTAATAGTAATTTGCAAAAAAGAGGCAGCAAAACATTGAACATTCTCAATTATGACGAACTGGTTAATTGTTAACGGTGGTAAAACTAATATAGAAATATAAATCTATTGGGTTTTTCGATGCTTAATTTTTTTTTGTTCGTTTTCAAGAAAAAGCATTGAAATCTTTTGATTGTTTTGCGTGTTTTCATTTTCGTCTTATTATTCAGTTTCGTCTATATTTATATTGAACATGAAGGTGCTCGCAAGCGCGCATATATACAAAATTCTATTGAGTGAGCAATTTATATTGGTTTACGCACATCGCCATTTAAAAGTCTCCATTCAAGTGGATTTCGTAATATAAATTAATAGTGAACGCATGCGTGCGCCCGTGATCGCGCTCTGCCATTTGATTTGTGTGCGGCTTTGACTGCAAAAATTGACAATAGCGTGATGATTCCATCAAATATCCATATGATTCGTTAACGGTTCGGTATTTTTTTTTCTTCTTCTTCTTTGGTTTATCACACTTTCAGTTTTCAATGTTGTTGTAGGTATGCAGAGAGATCATTCATATAATTGATACCTTTTTTCTTTCAGAGATTGTTGCGATCTCGTCCAAATTGGCGACATAGTTTAACATGACCTTTTCTTTTGCTTCATTTTATTCATACATCGTCGAAAAACGATTTGAAAAAAAAAAATCAACTCACTCACAGATGAATTAGGAGATATCAAAATAACAGCAAATTTTAAGCATCTAATCAATTAAAGAAAATAATCCAAATGAATATATATCATAGTGAGAGAGCGTTGTCGTCTTGCTCACGTTGGTGTTTGCCATTTCATTCCAATAAGCATTTGCACATTGTGTCGCCTCGTTTTTTTTGTCGGCTTTCGATGTTCCGTCTATAGTCAAAATGGAACATTGATTAATTTTAGAGCGCATAGAATATTGAAATCGTTAAGTCGTTGCTCTATTTTATACGGCGTCTTTTTATTTGATTTTTCCATTCTTCAAGGTTTTATATCTTCGCACATTAAGTCTCATCAAATTCAAAGCTCATCGTCAAATTTATTAAGATCAAAGCATGTTTCGAACGTTTTTTTTATGGTTTTCTACAAATACGTGACTTTGACGCAATGAAGAACAATATCGATATCATCAGACCAAAATCAAAATCAGCACGATTAAGAAAAAGTGTTTTACCATTTTCAGACAAAGAAATATTGACGGCAAAAATTAAAAAAAAGCGAAAAAGTAACAAAAAAAATTGCCAACTTTAATTAGTTCAAAGTCCAAAAATTGACATGGAATGTGTGCAGCGCTTTTATCATATTCAAATGGATTTGTTTTTTTTTGCGCTCTGTACATATATGTCGAAAAGCGAGATTAGACACACAAATGTTGTCAAAAAGACGTTGCACGGATTTATGATAATTCATTCACACGGAACTTGGCTGTTTGTTTTGTACAATGTGATTATCTCCATGCTACCCACTGATGACTTAACACATTGACATCGGGGGAATTTGCTGTATGATTTATTCAATTGAGGCTCGGATATTATTGTTTCTTTCTTCTTCACTTTCAGTTAATCGATGAATCCATTTCGATTATTATTTTGGCGTCGATAAGCACAAATAAATCATTTCGTGAACAAAAGCAACGTCGTTATTGCATTTTATGACTGAATGAAAGATATGTAACTATGGGCGAAAAAAACAGCGACGGCGACAGCAACACCACCACCACCATAACATTGTTGCCGCCAAAAAGCCGAAAGACCGAAAATGTGTAGACACCTTTATATCAAAATACTCATATATATAAAATGGCAAATTTAGGACACGATCTTATGCAATCTTATCTGAAACTCTTTTTTTTTTCGTTGTATACCGGAATCTGACTTTTCGGTGACACTTCTGAAACGCTATTTATAAATTGTATTGGTGTACGTATGTGGTGTTGTATATGATTGCTTTTGTGCGTTGTTTTTTTTTTCATTCAACATGCGCGTGCTTACTACGTTATCTTTCGGCAATTCCCTTACCATGTGAAACTGCACTGTTTTATATATAAATGTTGTTATTGGCACGCATGTATTGATATTTGAAGAGAAAACCAAATCCAGTTTTCATTTTCAATACACGGCAATTTTTCGTCGACCTTTCACTAAATTTACTTTGGTGAATGTGAAACGATTTTGGTAGAGACAGAGACGAAGAGAGAAACCATCTCTCGTCGAACCAAAATATGTGCTCGTGAGCGCACACACAATCAATCGAAAATGATAATGATATTTACCAATTATAATAAATATGCACCTGATCGTGGCGATTAAATAACATGTAGGTTTTTTTTCCTGATTCCAAAGTGTTCAGGCTTGAAATAGAGCCACTTTTATATGTCAGTCAAACCACAATTGAACGAACATACAATATGCTCATTTAATCATTGTCTCGTGCTGGCACTGCTACATTGCATAAGACATATATCGGTTGACAGCACCAACAAAATCAACATTGAGGCAAACACTGCGTATATGTGATACGGCGTCTTCAATTTATCTTCGTCAAAAAGTTCTTGAGCGGCAGCGGCGATTTTCGCAGAATGAAATATTTAAACATAGAATCATGTCTAATTTTAAACACATTGAATGAAATGAATTGCGAATTACTTATCATAAATATGTTTGTCACACTAATCAATATCTCATTTACTCTTTTTTTTACAGATTACAAGAATTCTGAATCGATTGAATTAAAAATCTATCAACGACATTCAATTTAAAATTCAATCAAAAGTGTAAAGAGAAGAAGAGAGACAGAGATAAAAGAAACAATATGCAGACAAATCGTGACTTTTTTCACATTAGTCATAACATACGATAGGGATTGATCGCGTGAATATTTTAACAATTTGCATAACAAACGAGAGAGAGAAGTAGTTCTCCTGTGCGAACAAGTTTAAAATCACATGTAAAATGGTTCGAATGGAGAGCATGAGACGATAAAATAAAACCACGACCAGTTAACATATGAGCAACAACAAAAAATCAAACAACAACAACACACGAGTGTATTACAAAATCTGAATACTATTGACCGTATCAAAAAGTGACACACATGATTAGTGGTTTCAAAGAGATAATTGATTCATCGAATGCCAAATTCAAATATAGATAGTATCAATCGAGTGTTGAAATTAATGAATTAATACTGGGCCATCGAAACACACACACACATATATATACACACAGTGAGAATCGTATCGCGAAACAAAACGCACAGAAGCCATAAAATCTATATATGCAAATATAATAAGGCGGAAAATTGTTCACTTTGCGTGCGTTTCTAATAATGGCACTCGTGAATTTTTCATTACCATTCAGTGGTTCAGTGGCACCATCAAATTGGATCACAACACCAAATCCGATACAAAATCAACACGTAACAGTTGTGAATGATTTACTTTATCATCCTGAAGGTCATCAGCAGCATGAAGCTGATGATACGTCCAATGTACAGCGACAATATTATAAAAATGATCCATATTCACATCCAACCCAATCGCCGCCAATATCAAATCAATATCAACGGCAAACATTTCATTATCGATCTCGTGGCGCGTCCAACAATTATTTACCGCCACCATTGTCCAATTTGAATTCGAACCATGAACGACCGCCGTCAACCAAATCACAGTACATACCACAATTACAACCACCGCTGGAGACGGGCACACGAACGGTCACAAATTACCAAAGTCATCATCAGACACGCGCATTTGGTGAAAGTCGGTACGAGGCACACGAATTTTATAATGAAAATATTAGCAGTAATTTAAATAATAGTGATGTTGATAGTCAGTCACCAAATGGTGCATTCGATTCGATTGTAAACACACCACAACCGCCGATAACCAATGATAAACTATCATCCATTCAAAATGACGACAAAACGTACACATTCCCTGCCAATCGTCCAACATACACCCAAGTGCAAGCTGGCCATGGTTCAAAAACCCAAGTGCATGCGGTATTGGACTATGATAATGACGAATACTATGACGAAGAGAATGTCGGTAAGCATCATTTTATTGTTGATGACATTCAAACGATTACGTTCGCTTCTTATTTGGCGAATCAATTTGTTTGCGGTCTTTTTTTTATGCATTCGGTTAAATTCAAATTGTATTGATATGTGGTTTCTTTTTCTCTGCATTTCAGATCCAAAAGATCCATCACCAATTACACCGATTCAAGGTCCAATATTCATAAAAAATTCCTCCGTTCCAGTAGTTCCTCTATTTTCATATCCTACCATGAATAACGGTACCTTCATTAGAATTCCTGTAAGTATTTTGCAAAGTTTCAAGAAAGAAAGAAAAAAATAATTCCAAACTTTGTCAGTGACTGTTGTTTTCGTCATTATCTGTGCCTATGTTCCTTATACAAAACGCCTTTCATTCACCTTTTACGCGACAGCACGTAGCATTTATTTTTAACATTTTTATTCGGTTTAGTTCTTGAATTTTAATAGCTTAATCTGATGGTGTATTAATTTCAACACCCGCACCACCAACCAATTCATTCATCATCCACATATTCGCCATTTGATAAGTTAGAACCGAAACCATAGAAGGAATACATTTTTTTGCTGTTGAATGGTTGGATTTTTTTTCGCTTTCGTAATTTGAATCACGTTGTCCGTGTATGAGAATTCGGTAACAGCCTATGTCACCCAAAATATGTGGTCATTTCTTATTTGGCAACTTGATCGCATTTAGTAAGTTTCAGCAAGAGCACTGTGGTACGAAGAAAACGGGCGTCGTTCAGAAGAGAAAAGAAATCCAGAAAAAGTAAAAAAAAAATATCGTTTCGTAATATTTATTATACAATGTATGCGTCAACTGAGTGGAATATAAATCGATTCAGTTAATGTATGTATTGTCGAAGTGGCAGCAACGATATCGTGAAAACATATCAATATATATATGCATACAAAAAATATGATAATCCTATTACGAAAGAAAATTTCAAGACGACTTCAATGCTACAATGCATTAATTCAGATGCAGAAAAGGTTAATTTATGCTACAAAATAAACATTGAAATGATTTTTTATTCCTCTCGCCTCTCGATCTTCCATTCAACTTTGAAGAACCACTTATTTTGCATTAGATTTAGATCTCTTGATAGAATCGCATGATTTTTCAATGTTAAATATGTCGATCTATGAATGTTTACAATATTTGAACAGATTTGGTGGACGGCGTTATCTGTGGCATTAGGCTTGGAGATACGTGGCGATGTCATAAAGGGAACACCATGTGTTAAGCGACACAATCAACTCTTTTGTCCTACAGCAGGAAATAGCTATCCAATGTAAGAATTTCATAATTTTATCAATTCCATTGGAAATGGACATTGTTTTGAGTGGCTTTCAGCCAACGGCAGCTGCTGTTTGTATAAGAGTGAACACAGTCTACTCTTTCACCATCAAACAATTTACAGCAGCTGATCTCAGTCAATTGAGACATTTCGGCTGGCTGAAAGTATATCAATACAATGTCAATTTTAAAATTCAGTTCACCATAGATGGGTGCTATGATATGAGTGTTATTATTAACTGAGAATATTTATTAATGTAAAACATTTTGAAACTGAAATTTATAGAGATCGAATTGAAGAGTTTATTGACGAGAATAAAGCGTTAATGAGGCGAATGTATGGTGACTTTAGGTCACAACAATTCAGGGAACCACCAATACAAACCACAAGACAAAAACGTGACGCAAACAAACATGATAATTTGCCAGGCGTTCCGGATATAACAGCTCCATTTAATGAAAAATTAAACTTGTATGCAACAGATGACACGATTGGCGGTGAATCATTCTTCGGCCACATCAGACATAAGCGACAAGCTAAACAAAATAAACCGAATCCAAAACCTCCAAATTCCAATTCGAATCCATCGGCAGAACCAGTATCGAATCGGTTCGAAACATGAACCATTTTCCGTCTTGCACAAATGACTCACAATGTTTATGCTTTTATTACAGTGTTGATGCATGTGAATCAAAAATTGAAGTTGTTACACCGTATTGGGCATCGAATTCAGCTGGAAAAATCCGTGCCATTGTCAATACTCAACACTTTGAACAGGCCATTCATCAAGAGGTTTGCACGTAAGTAAAATTGAATATTTTTATTTTATTTTTTTCTCATATAATTCCCTTTCTTATTTTCATATGCAGCAAAATGCTCACGAATCGTTGTGGAGGTGATTGTGGTTGTGAACAGAAATACAAATGGCATCGATTGCTTTCCTACGACCCGGACGAAGATTGCAAGGGAATCTTTATGGTATTGATTTCGATTAAATTTCGTTTTTTTCGTCAATTTATATTTTTAATTCTTTCTCTTCTTTTAGGATTGGTTTTTGTTTCCGTCTTGTTGTGTTTGTCGCTGTAATAAAACTTGAACAAAATGAAATTGGCTCAATCAAAAACATATCGCGTTTATTCATAGCGAGTAAATCCTTTTGCGATAATAACGAAAGTTTGTTTTTTTTTAAAAATGAAGTATAATAGTAACGAGTTCAGTTTATCTTTTCTATGCGCACATTTCTTTTTTGTTCTTTCTCGCGAGACGATAGTAATTAATTTTGATTCCAGATAATAGGCGGCCTCAACCTTTTGTTTTATTCAACGCGTAAATCTATATCTATATAGCAGTCGTTCTTTTCAGTTATAATGATATTCCTAGTTTCTTTTTTTGTGTGTGTGTGCAAGAAGAATAAAATTTCGAAATAAATATTATTTTGCTTACAAAAATCCGTTTCAATTTTATTTTGTTCCGTTTTTTTTTTTTTTGAATCACAGTTAGTCTTTATATTTCCTCATAGACATTGCATTCATTGGAAAATGTGTCTACTTCACTTCACACTGGCAATTGATATGCAGCGAACGAGTAAATGGAGAAGAATCCTTATATGTATAACGGGGGACTTGTTTTTGTCAGGAAAATGAGCTATTTTGCTAACGTATTACATTATTTTTGTGTGTTTGTCTCCCGACTCTCACTTGTGCACAGACATGAATGCATTTATACTTGGGCTGAATGCACCACACATTTTTTGTCTCCTTTGCACCACTCCTTGTGGCCATGTCAGAACAGTTATTCATAGATCTAATGTCGGCAGTCATGTTTCATGTATGATTTATCGTGCAGACGCGATGGAAACGCAACAAAAAATTGTGTCTTATGGTGAAGTGTACGAGTCTAATATGTAAGTGGTGGCAAATGGCATCATTGTTTAAAGTACCACCAATAAAATGCCGTATAGCACCACCGTGCGATATTAACATCGACACCTAAAAAGTAGTGATTACGGACCGAAGATACACTTTATAGCCGTAGCCGGTTTATATTGCCTTACATATGTAATCCGAGGGTATAATGCTTAAAAATCATAATTGGTGTACATGCAAATTCAACCATGTTGTGGGTCCACAATATATATATATATGTGTGTATGTTGGTGTGCATTTGTGATATTTGCGTTAAAAATTTCATATAGACATTTTGCATTCATCTGTGTAATATGCGTCAACACACGCATATAATGCATATTGTAACCCATATGGGCATATTTAAATAAAACTCTATAAATTTCAAGTGAATGAATGAGAATAACATCGAGGAAAATACTCCACGGTCGCTGACATGCACACAACCATTCTTACACTCACATGCACATAATTCGTGCTCTCACTCTTCATCTTATTCATCATACACAAAGCGCATTCCATTCATTGTTCATATCGTACCTTATCCTTTATTCATTAAGTGTATTCGTGTATTCGCTTGCATCTTTTATACGGCTATCGCTCCATATATTCATTGGATGTTGTTGATGATGATGACGATGATGTTGTTGATGCCGACAACGACTCTATACTGTGTGTACTCTATGTGCATGTTATTTACATGCTAGCGTCAGCACGAGACTCACACACATGTGCGTTCTTCGAGTATCACTCTCACTCTGTCGAGCTAAACAATTGGGCATACGCTTAGTGTATAGGCAAAGCAATTTCTTTCAATGAAGAAGCGACAGTCAAATATTGACATTCGAACGATGAAAACGAACCGTTCGAACCGGGCAATCTTTTTCTCTCTCGTTCCGTTGCAACTGTACTGTGGACTATTTATAGTGAGATCATGAACTCACTTTCGAAACATAAATTATGATTTTTTTTTGCATTTCATAATTCGCGTCTTTTTGAAAAGTGAAAAGTTAAAATTCTATTCAGTGCCCAGACACTTTTTTTTTCTTTTAATATCTTTTAAGTGATTTTGCAAAAAATTTCGTCAAGTGGTTTTTAAAATTCAATTTAAACAAAAATTTAACGGAAATTGGTGTTTTTCTTCTTCTCCTGCTAGATGTGATCCTTTCACAAGCAACCCATTGACAAATAATGCGTATGAAACGATGTGACACGACTTCTAATATGCAAATAGTACTTCAATTTCAATATTATATTTAATCATCAAGGGAATATTGTGTTTGTCTATTTAAAGAAACTGTCATCATTTGTTGGCTTAAGTGAATAACAAAAAATTACGTACATATTGATAGCAAACAAAGTGAATTGTTGAAATATACATCGCACACCATGTTCAGCGTCTCCAGTAGAAAGTCCAAGTGTATTTGATCATAATTCCGATAAACGATGAATGCATTCCAAATGGATGTGTAAAATACATATTAAGCATCGATACAAATATCATCGTTTTCCGCGGAAATTCCATCATGTGTCAATAAACTCGAAACAGTTTAACTACAGTTACGCCAACAACAACAATACGAAGTAAGAAAACAAAAAATCATGATCTGCGGAATTCCGCATGTAATTTCGCAATTGAATCGATTTCCCAACGTGAGTGATTCGAGGCATGGATCGCATATGATTTAGAATTCAGGCGAAAAAATAGAGACACATATAGTGTGCGAGCCCAGAGTGAGTATGTTTAGCAGTAAAATGTTTATTTTATTGTTTACACGTTGTTGTTTTTTTCGCCCTTCTCTTTCCCTTTCAATTTTCAAACTGAAGCTAGAAAAATACACAGAAAAATATGGTATTATGTTTAGAAAGTTCTCATTAAATTACATTTACATACATTTTGTCTATGAACTCTCTTTTGCTCTCTGTTGATATGATGTGCCAGTAAATTTTTCGTAATAATATTGTACGGGGATCGGATGGTCTGTCAGCAAGTCGGCAATTTGGTTTATGTGCGTTAGCATATGTGTATTGAATTGTTTTCAAATCGCTCTGAACAACAACAAAAAAATACCATATAAATGCACCATTCGGATAGTTTTTCCATGTAAACATCACACAACATTTTTATGCTTTTCAATTCATTTTCGTAATGTTTTAGGAGCGCGCGCGCCCGCTCATACGTTAAAATCGAAAGTATTTCACAATGTGAACGGTTTTGAGCACATATGTGTTTTGTCTTTGTGCTAATATTTCACAGAATTTCTATTCGAAAAAAAGGCTTGTGGATGGTTTGCTCCCATTTTTATCAACATATTTTTTGATTCGCTTGTTTGCCAGCATCTTTTTTAATTATAAAGGCGCCATGCATTTCAGTTGTCGATTTCACCAGTTCTCATTTTGATGAACAACAAAAAAAAAACGTTCTGCCACCGAAGCAAAATACACACAATTACAGGCAATTTTGAAATAACAGAACCAACGAAAGGAGAGAGAGAGAGAGAGAGAGAGAGAGAGAGAGAGAGAGATAAAACAACACGTACATTCTTCTTTTCCTCAATAAGGAACAAATGAGCTATCATTTACACACTGCCTGTGTAATCGTGAATGTAAACAATTATTTGTTTCTGAATAAATATTTAAAATGCATTATTGCCATTATGCTTTTTTCCGTGACTGCACGCTGAGCCCCGTGCGATGAAATCGAAGGGGAACCCAAACCAAATACACTGCGTGCATGGCAAGAGAAAGAAAAAATACATGTTTATCATACTTTGCAGTTCGTTTTAAAAAGTGTGTGTGTGTGCGTGTCTTCTCTCTCGTGCGTAATACACACATGTACTAAAAATCAATGTTAATCTGAACAAATGTTTAATATTTTATTCCATTGTACTATTTTACTATTGTCTTTTCATCAATTTATTAATGGAAATAGATAATCAAATTTAACGAAAGAGAGAAGAAAAAAAAATCTGTGTACACATTGTTCTGTCAATTTATTGCATTGTTTGGTGAGCCATTGTTTGAAATTAAAAATTTTAAAATCATTGCAGTTTTTGTCACTTTGATTTCCCTTTTAGTTTGATTTCAATTAGTGAATATTGTATTGATGACCGACGTTTCATACACATTCAATTGAATAAATGACGATGAGCAGGCGACATCAATTGAATCAACATTTTTTTCATTGAAAATTATTAGTGGGATGGATTTCTTTATTTTATATTTTTCAATTTATTATATTGAGAGGTTACATCATTCGAAATAAGATAGCTAATAAATTGGAATTAAGGAAACTCGTACTTATTTCCCATACTTCAGCACCAACGCAATACACTGATTGGGCAAAACAAACATTATTGCTGGAAAAAATGCCGGCAAAACAAACAACATGCTGGTTGAATCACATACACAGTGTATGATACACTCTCAGTGAAATTCGAGGCGCAAACCAATGCGATTTTGCACAGTTGCTGTCACGTTCGCCAGATGGCCTATCTCTCAAACGGTACCATGTGTATGATTTGTAAACAGAAAACCAACAGTCTATTGTATAGATTTCTCATTTGCATCAATACAATGCCGTTCAATGAAATCGTTCAACAAAGACATAAAGCACATTCAACAAGATACTTGTGAATTGGGTTAAATTTGAATGTTTTCATTCATCACAATAATTCATAGTATAATAATTTGTCGAAAATGATATTTAATCCAAGATTATATATGAGAAACGATTATCCAAATAGGCTTACCAAATGAGTTAATGAGCAATGTTTGCTCTCTATTGTTTGGTGTCATTTAGACGAAGATTTGGTGGGAGATATTCCTCTTTTAATAATTTGGATGGCAAGCATATGTAAAGAAGTTGAAATTCTTATCAATTGTACCCATCAATATGATCTCATAAGACCTTTCTCTCACATTTAATGAATGAAAAAAATGCTTTAAAATTCGCTTTTTATCCGAGTAAGTCGCGGTGAAAAGTTAATCAAAAGTGATTCCCCAATTTCTATTAAAACAAGCACTTTGGCTTTTGTTCGCTCTTTGTTCCGCCTGCAGGTACTACCAACTTATTTATTATTCAACTAAAAATGCAGTCGAAACGCGATTTTATTAATATTGTAATACACTTTGCTTACACGGATGGAATGAGTGTGGCCTCATGGCCACAAATGAATGAAATTATTTTGAATTAAAATAAAAAGACGGGATTGCGTGTACTATGCTCTTTAAGAACGAAATTTTCTTGGTCCACCCCTTTGAGAAAGTATGAAAAATCATTGGTTCCCATGCTACCATGGAACGATATATTCAAATGTTATTACAAATTAAGCTCATTACTGGCTTCATTTATTTCGCATAAAATTTAATTGCTGCGTATAAATTCTCTTAATTAGCTTCATTAGAAAATGGTATTTTGAGTGTTTGTTTTTCGGCAACGTAAAACGAAAACTTCTCTTAGAACTCATTCAAACATATCACATTGTATATGTCCATTCATTCGTATGTATATTCGTTTTTATGGTCTTTATCGAGTTGCACCATGGTACCGCAATACCAATATTGTGTACTACTTACGAGACAGAGAAAGAAAGAGAGAGAGAGAGAGAGAGAGAGAGAGAGAGAGAGAGAGGAATGTCTGATAGACAAAACTTTGTTCATCGACAACACATATGAAGTGATTTTCTAGTGGCCGAGCCGAAAATTTCCACAATAATAGAAATCGGATTGATTAAAATCTAGTTCTGAATGGCACTACAAGCTTTTGATTGAATGCATTTCAACCATCAACCGTATGTGTATTGTACGTCGCCGTATTCATACGTAAGCCCATACTGTGCGACGATCGAAATCGGTTTTTGTTGTGCAAATAGTTCATTTTCCACGAAAATCTGCTTAACTGAAGAGCAGACTGTTCGGTGGCATTACAAATCGTTTTATTGCTGCCATTTTGCTTGCAAAACCTCATTGTTGTCTAACAAAGTTTTTCTCTCTTATTCACTGTATGCAATATTGAAAGTATTTGGGCATTGAACATCAATAGCGAAACCAATAGAAACGTGTTTTTTTTTTCAAAATTCAAGTATCGATACTTATGCACCACCCAATCGAGACTCTGAAATTAATATCGTCTAAATGATACTAATTGAATCGTTTCGCCCCAGCAAGATGTTCACTTTTAAATGCCACTTTTCTTCAGATTTCAAAATTCGAACGATTCACCCACGCATACTGAATTGATGCTAAGGACTCTAAAAATATAACGCTATCAAATGCCACAAATGAAGCAGAAAATATCATATGAAAGATACTGCGTTGTTGTTATAGTAATCATCCCATAATAACTGCGGAAAATGTAATAAAAAATATATTTAAAAAATGTTTTCGGTCGGAAACGTTCGTATTCGTTCTTTTTTGCAGTTGGTCTAACAAAAGTATCGAGCCTATCTCCATTTAGAAATTGTAGTTAATAACGACAACGACGTCGTCGTCCTTCATTTCGTAAGATTTATCTCGGTCTGGCTCTTTCCGACTTTTTTTTCGTTCCCCCTTTTTGAATCTGGCGAATTGTGGCAAATTACTTAATCAATATTCAAGTCTGTGCTTTTTCAAACAACACAAACAGATAAATAAACAAAAGAATTACACTTTTCCTGCTCACAATCACCCAACTGAACCGTTCATTTTTCTTTTTCTTTAATTACAGGACCTAATCCGATCACGAGTGACACATCGAAAAGTGGAAAGAAATCGAACATGATTGCGAATCAAAGCAATTATCCGGACAAAAATCACAAGAGTGTTGCGATGATTAAGTCGTCGTTGCATTGGAAAAATGTTCGTGCAAATCACCTGCATGCAAAATCAACATCATTGGAACAACCTCTACAAAACTATCCACTTGTATCGATACATGAGAGTGAATATGAATCACGTGAACATCCGAATAGTGGTACATCATCGACACAAGTGCAGCAATCGAATGTTCAATACAAATATTCTCGAATACCAACGACAACGAACACGACGGTTTGCAATTTTAATCAAATTTCCAAAGCACCGACAAATTTATGGAATGGCATATACGAGAAGCACTTGTTGAACCAGACAAAGTTCGAACGTTTCGACGATGACAAATGGGCAAACAAATGTACATCAAATGGTGTGATGCGAAAAAATAGGGAGACGACCGGTGGCGTCAGTAATATTCAACTATCGAAAACCAATTTCAATAATAATTCGTGTCAAAACGAGCTCCGGCCAATATCAACGGTTCGCAATAACTTCGAACAAAATCCACAGTTTGCATTAATGCGTCGACATATTGATCCTCAATTGACATTTTCTGAATCATGTATGATAAAAAAGAGTGCAAAAATTCGAATGACAAATCGTCCACCAAATTTATCGGCCGAACAACAACAACAGCAACAACCGCCCACCAATTTTCATAAGCAAATCAATATTTTTGAACTTAATGGTTGTGCAGCATCGACAGCGGGAGGCGGAAAAATATTACCAAAGGAAATGAAGGCAAACAAAAATGCATCAAATGATTTGCACCTTGTTCCCTCAACAACACCAATACCAAATGTGTACATGCAAAGCGGTGGCGGCGGCACGAGAGAGCAAAGACATCGGCTTTATGCATATTCGAGTGAAACACAAATTCCGAGTGAAATGGGTTTTATGTATGTGCAGCCGGGCGTAATTGAAAAGAATCTTTTTTGCCCGGTGCCATTACACTACAATGGTCACAACAAACAAATAAAGAATGAAATCAACGACGCCGATTGTCAGATGTACAAAAACGCTGGTGTTTTGAATCAAGCGTATAATAGAATTAGTGGCAATATTTGTTTGGAACGTGGCCAACGTGGACAACGAGGACAACCGGTTGGTGGAAATCACCTCGAAGATTCATCAGTGCCAGCATTTGGCAATGTTGCTACACCAGCGTCGACAAAAACGGCATCACTTTCGGTGGTATCTGCTGTGAACGCCAAAGTCTCGTGTAATACATTTGAGAATGCCATAACAAGTTCGGGTATTGGTGTTCCTCATGCTGTTGCTGTTGTTACTTCTGGTGGTGAATCAACTCTGGCCACAAATTGTGAATACACAAGTAACAGTAAAATTAATATTATGCTTGAAACGGCACAGGCGATGGCAGCAGCTGCTTATTTTGCAAGGTTGGTGCTTATACAATAAATTCACAATAATTTATTTCCTTTCGTTTTGTTCGCCTATACTTTTACTTTTTTTTCGGTTCGCATTTTCTTCGTCGTTGCTTATGGATTTTGTATTTCTTTTTCTCTCATTGTTTGCTTCTTCTCTCGTTTTGTTTTAATTTCTTTGTTGTTTTCTTCACATTTGCTTGCTCTCTCTCTCTCCCATTCACTCACTCGTTCGCATTCAATATATCGGATGCATGAGTGGCATGGATTTGTAAAGAAAAAGCGCGCGGCATCATACAGCATACTTGAAGAATGAAAAATAAAGAAAACTGCTCACAGAAATTTGTGGCGAGTGGAAATGGAAAAATCGCAAACGATAAACATATCTCGAGTGAAAATATAGAAAAAAAAACAATAATAAAATTGAAATACGAGTTTAAGAGAGACTCAAATGTTCGCGTGTAGAGTTTTTCTGTTTATGTGTGGATGTGTACTTGAGAGTATGTGCGCCGCTCTTTCTTTTACGTGTTGACTTTTTTCCCATTATGACTCTCGACAAGATTCAATGTGTTATGATTGCCATTATATACGCTGTAGGTGCTACATGGCGCGGTAGCACAGCAAATGTGTGTGTATTTGAAGTAAGAAAAAAACATTTCAAAACCATAAGTTACAATTCCGACTTTTGGCTTATTTCATTGCTATAACAAGTCGAGCGAAACCAACAAAAACTGCACACAATGTGCTGAAGAAAAATACCAGAATAGAGAGAGACAGGGAGAGCGTAGCAGAGAAAAAAAAAGAAACAACCGTCATAAGAAACTGTGAGAGATAAGAAGAAGTGAATCAATTTAATGGCAAGAATCATATAGTATTCATATCGTAGTGCTCGGATTGGAAACCATTTGAATAAATTATTCGTTGCAAGCCATGGAAATGTCTTGCCAACAAATTCCAAGAAGAACGGGATAACGATAAGTTTTATGGTTTTTTTCTCTTCCGCTTCATCTTCTTCTTTTCTTCAGGGATAATTGTTTGAACATTCATGTTCGTGGAAACTTGTTAAATATTAACATTTTGTGTGTGTGTGTGTGTTTTGTTGTGAAGTAAAACTTGTGCTCATTTCGATTGACAAAAAATCGTTGCGATTGTTCGCTTGAAATCAAATTAATATTCCATTATCCAGACCTAAGAATCCCATATACTCTATTTCCCCTTTTTATTTTCGCAACTAAATCTTTGGCATCTTGAAATATTTTTGCTTCAAAAGAATTAATGTGTGCAAACGATAAAGTCCCGTTCACATCTTGCCTTGTTGATCACTGCACATCTCTCTCTCTCTCTCTCTCTCTCTCTCTCTCTCTCGTGAGTTCGGCTTTTAAATTTGAAATCCTTAGGTTTATTTTTTCTATTCAAGAAACAGATTTATGTTGACACAGCTGTAACAAATGTAGTTCTATAGCCGTTATCTACAGTCCGAAAACAAGTAAATTTTCTCGCTTTTTTTCTATTTTATATTCAATTTGTTTTCAAATGCTTAAAACTATCAATGTGCACTGTGTGGAATACTTTTCCGCCCCAGAAATTTATAAGTCATTATGTTCTTATGTTCGGTGTGAGTGTATGTGTGAGAGTGACTTTGCTATTCCGCCCTGCGAGAAAATCTAATGTTTTCAGCAACCATATTTCAATGTTTTCAATTTTCCTTTTTCACAATGAAATAAAATTTCTTAAGTCTATGGTATTTACATCTTTGGCTGCAGCCACATTTGGTTGCAATTGCGAAAAAAAACGCCAACTTGTGCACACTTTCGTTTTCATTTTCTTCTATTGAATGGCCTCGATGCCAGAGCACACTGAATACAATTGAAGAGCAATACAGAATATTCACAAGTTAATACCAAATAAATTAAGTCAGAGACAAAGAGACGAACAGACTAGACAGCATGTTAAACGGTGAACAACAAATTGCCGAACGAAAGAATGAAGTGAAACGAGAGTAAAAAAAAAACAACAGCATCGAAGTACTGACACAGGAAATGAATTTATTGTTTGACATTGCATAGCATTTAGCTATCTTCACTCCCTAATGGAATGAATCACTGATGATGATGCTGCTGGTGCTGGTGCTGGTGCATGAATCTGAATCATGTTAAGTAAAACACTTGTGATATTTCACAAGAAACTTTCAGCGACATGAACATTGAACACACACAATAACCATCGTCTTTTGATGATTTGTTTCAGTATTTTTGGACATAATTTTTGGAGCTGCATTTACCAGGCTTGTCTTCTCAAGTCTTTCCCGCAATGAAAAATGTATCCTCTTTCATCGCATTTTTTTTTCCATCTCTATAGTTCCAAATTTTTTTGAGTTCAGAAATTATTTTGATTCAAGCAAATTGCACCCCATAAATTAAGGAAAAGATTTCTTTGAGGTTGTTTGACACAAAGAACCAATTGAATTTTAGTCGAATTTTGAAATCGTTTCCTGTGCATTGAATTAGGATTATTATCCGTAAACATGGCACATCAAACATACAAACTATGTTCAAACAAAAAGATTCTTCAGCATTTTCGAAGAGTAATAATGTGAAAAGTCAAAGTTTCAATGGATATAAGTCAGCGTAATGATATAGACGCGTGTCAGATACACATAACATTTCCGACTTGTGTGCGTACGTTGTCATGAAAAGTCGACATTTAGACAATTCGCATCACATATAGCCACGAATTGTGTGTGAGAGAGATACCATGGCATTCAATATGTTTACCATTTACACTTTGCCATATATTATTTTCGGAAATCATACTGTGAAATCGAGCAAACACATCGCTCAATCTCCGTACGCATGAAATGTGAGATGCAAAAGAAAATTCTCCGGCTCATACTCCATCCATAGAATGGTGTGCACCATTCCGACAGATAATGAGTGTAATTAGTTTTAGTGAATATAAATGAATTGTTTATTGGTGAAAAAGCATGTTGGGAAATTGTTTTCTTGTTTGCCGTTCATGTTTTTGGAACGTGTACGAATGGTCGTGAGCGCCGATGCGCTGTTTGCGTATGGTTTGTTGTGGTTCAATGCGTGTACGGCCTCTCTGTGATTTTATGCCATCCGAAAATATTGACTTCGATTCGAAACGCCACCGAAGCATAACAACCACTGAAAACGGATGCTCACCAATGTGCTTATAAATAGATTGATATGGGGAACCAAATAAGGAATGGAAATGAATGACGACATCCGAATTTCAGATGACTGGGGTGTGCAGGCAATAGAACATACACGACAACACAATATGTTGTTGATTAAATCAGTGCACAAATTCACTATTCAATAATCTAGATTGCCACAAAGCAATAAGTTTCGAATGAATTTGCCAAACGCACCCGGTGTGAGAGAGTTAAGTTTATGCTTGAAATCGGTATGTATTGATGCAGATTGGTAACAATTGAATTTGATTACGCGGATTACGGCGAATTAAGTTTAAATCCGCTCTTTTTAATCACATCAAGTGTGAAATGGCATATATAAATTGTGTTTAGATTTGTGTACGTTGGAGCGCCAAAGCCGCATGCACGAATTTCCAATTAAGGTACTCCATTTTCAACGGCGAATAGGCGAATGTCAATTTCAAAAACTAACAATTTTAAGTATTGATGCACTTTGTTCGCATATTTCATAGAAATTCAGATAAATTTTGCTAATTGAGTGATTACGATCATTAAATCAATCTTTTATTCAGCTCACCGCATCGAGAAATCGATAGATTTTTGAGAGAAAAGTGTATGCGTTGTGGAATTGCACACAGATTGTCAAAATGATTTTGCAATAACAAAACTCTCGATTCGCATCACATCAAAATATTATTAGCGAATATTTCGTGCATGCATGCAGCTCTCTCGGCGCTAGCGTGTGTGTGTGTGACATAATCCCGAATAATTTCATTTCTGAATTGTGCATGCATACTACTTTTTTATGATAGGAAAATTGTCTTGATTTATATGTTATCCGTTGACAAGGTTTTCTCCATATTTCAATTTATTCTCTCTCTATCGTACGCATATATTCGCTACTCAATTTGTTGTTGTTGTTGTGTACGCGCTTGTGTTTGTCGTAAATCTAGAAAATGTTGGTTCTATTTTGTCATTGTTATTGAAGCAAGTTCTTCGAGATATTTTATATTGCCATTGCTGCCGAAATGCGATCATTTATTATGTTCAACGTTTTATGTCATCGTGAAAATCATGGAATTATGATTCAAAAAATCTTTATAAAATGTCAAAACGTGACATTTATGAAAATCGCTCGTTAAACGTTCCACTGACTTCGAACCTCTCTCGTTCTCTCTCTCTCACTGTCACTCGCTACCGAAGCGATATGGATTTAAATCAAAGCTGTAAACTATGAAATCAACTCGAAATATGCACAAAATTCAGTCATTCAATTTTCTATATCTAATACAAATAGATCCCTTGAAGCGAACACATTCGGAATTTGATGATGATTGCATCCATGAATGGAGTATAAAATTGTATTTATGTTTTTCGCTTTACTCGAAGCGAAAGTGAGCAAATGACGGATAGAGAAGAAGATGGAAAGAGAAAGAAATAGAACCTTAAAATTATCTAGCAAATGAACGGAGCACACAACACACGTTAACACGACACAGCGACAAACACATTCTGGTCGCGGTTTTTCGACTCAAACTCGTGTTTGATATAGTACTTCTGTTAAATCGCATTTTCCAAATATTTGCCGTGCACAAGATTCCGTTCATTATTATCCTTTCAAACATTAAGCGTAAAATTCATTCTCTGACCATACGTTTTTCTTCTTCGACTTAAACGAAAAATATTTTCCATAAATTCTTTCAAGTGAGTAATTTGTTTGAAATGAAGACCAAAATAAGTGGAAAATTTACGCACAAACACAATAAGCTGTTCAATGAGTGATATAGCCTTTTTACATAGATTATTTTCTTTGTTCGTCCATTTCGCCGTTTCGCTA